GCCCGCCGAGTCATTGCCATTTCCATTGCCGCAGCAAATATGGCCTAGACAGCTCAGGGCCTGCTGGATGCCCCCCCCAACTACCTAAGGTTCAAACTACAATTTGCCCCACCATGGCAGTTATGTTCCAGTTTGCGACAAGACGTAGACGTAGACATTGTCTGCTCAGAGGGCATGTGATTGATGGATGAGTTTGTGCATTGCTAATTAGTAATTCCCCAGCCTGGAGTTCCAAGCAGGAGGATAAGCTCAGATTCAATCAAGCCCATTGATTGCCGACTGTATGCATGGATCAGGGATGAATGATCCTGACAGCTCACAAACAATTGGTGTACTGCTACCCCCTTCACCCGAATAGAACCCCCAGTAAATATTGCCGTATCTGGACTGAAAGTTGCACCAAATACAGCTATACATAGTGACCGGGAGTTCTATTCGGGTGAAGACGGTAATAGATCCAAGCTTATCCTGCTGGTTCTCTAATCTCACCATCGGTGCAGGCAGGCTCTTCTGCAGAGAGACCCATTCATCCATGAAAGGCCATGAGGCCCTTCTGCAGACCTCTGAATGGATTTCATCTGATGGATCAATTTAACCCCCCAGTACTTGGCCCAGCTATCGGCTGGGGGAAAAAAATAGAGTAGATCCGTTTCTAGTCGGATGAATTTCGGCACTCCTGTAGTGACCCGTACATTTCCTAAAATCCTGGCTTGTACTGGTGGTTTAACAGGTCACAGGCAGGCCCAGTCATCCATGAAAGGCCAGTGCTCACAGATGGTAGTGACCTGTACACCTTGCTCGCAGACTGGGGCTTCAATGAATTATGGCTACAGCATGGTGCAATCTTGTCCTGGCTGAAAAACTCCATTCACTGTATACCATGCACTCATTCAAATGCTTTTTTGCAAAGCAATTCTGGGTCTGGTACCTCACGGGATTTTTTTCAGGTTTTTTTTTTTCTGTTTTCTTGCCCTGCTTTATATTTTTGGTCAAGGTCTGCGTGTGCCAAGTTCGGTGTTTGTTGGGGTCTAGGAGCTTACTGTTTTGGCCAGCCCTGAAAATCCTGAAAATCCCGAAAAGAGTTAGGCTACCAGCCGGGCCGCCCGGGTCACTTGTTTGCCTGGGCTGACGGGACGAGCAAGGACCATCGTAAAAGGTCCCAGCAAAGGGGGAAAAAAAAAAAAAAAAAAAAAAAAAACCCGGGAAAAAAAACTATGTTAGGCAGAAAAATAAAATAAACAACTTGATCCACAGTAGGACGGCAGCTGGTTTGGAGGATAGGAGGGAGTACACCTTTGAGACTGTGGTCCTTCTGGTCCACCCGTCGTTTTAGACGGTTTTGAATTGGTTCGGGTAGTATTAGAGGGTGACTGGAATCTTTTTGGTTTGTTGGTGGTCTTAGGCCTGTGGCCTTTTGTTGTTGGAGAGTGAGGTTTCAGGACAGTGGCGTAGATTTGGTCATTCTCTGTTCCTAGATTATCCTCGTGTCTCTCCTTGATGTGTTTTTCACTCTGAGCTATGCTCATAAGCTAAGCTGGCTGATGCTGCCAGGGTTACTCCGGGTTGAATTGTGAGGTCCCCGGCCTCAATTTGACCTTGATAATAAATTGTTTTTTTGGGGAAAAAAAAAAAAAAATTCCTTACCAATTTTAAAGTAAAAAAATAAAGGGAAATTTTTTGAAATGCCCCTTCGACTTCCATTTATTTGCGGTATATGCCCCTCCGACGGCCGACTTACCCTGTCGTGCCCCTCTGAAACGATTGAAGTTTCTGAAAAATCCCTGGCGCTGTTTGGGCCTGAAATTTGTTCAATATGCCCCTACCGGTACCGGTTCCAAATTTCCAGTATGCCGTGGTAGCTCCCCTCCCAGGGCCAGGGGAACAGCCTCATGTGCCACCAACAGCCACAGGGGCATGCTGGAAAGTTGCACCCCTCACTGACAGGGGCATGCAGGAAACTTCAGAGGCCCCAGGGGCATGACAGGGTAAGTCGGCCATCAGAGGGGCATACCACAAATAAATGGAAGTCGAAGGGGCATTTCAAAAAAGTTCCCAAAATAAAACTAAAAAACAATTGTTTTGCTTCTATTATTTTTTAATGTTTTTTGACCTGGCCAGGGCAGGCGGTCCCGGGCCACTCTGGAGCATGGTCCCATTAGCAAAGAGGATTGGATTTAGCTCCTGAATGAATCTGGACATGTGGTTAAGCAGAGATGCAGAAAAGCTGTTCAATCTCGAGTTTCTGCACTTTTCCAGGAACACGTCTAGATTCAGGCGTTCAATCCAATCCATGTTGCTGGTGGGACCTCGCCCTCGGTAGCCTAGGAAAAGAGAGATTTTGCATGAAAACACCCTTTTGCCTCGGGGTTTAGGTCCCTTTGATCCTTTTTTTTTTACTTCTTTTGCCGTTGGTTTATTAAACTTTTTTTTTTTTTTGTTCCCATTAAACTTTATTTGGTGTCCTCTCCATGGACTGGTGACAAGTCACTGCCTCTGGCTTAAAAAAGGGTGTGGGATGTTTGTTATAATGACCCTGATAAAACCCTAAACCCTGAAAATTTAGGCCTCTGTTAACTACTTCTCCACACCTCATGGAGTGTTTGTGCAGGGCTAGAAGGCCTAATGGGTAATCAGTCCTTTGCAAAAACACTGTGCAATGGGGCTTTGCAAAGCTTGGCAGGAAGGGTTGATTGGCCCTCTTGAAGTACACTAGAGGGGTGGTTTTGCGTGTGGTTTCATATCCATGGGTCACTGCAGGGAGGAGCCTCTCCCTAGGTGTTAGTGGTGTCTGCTCTTATCAGCAGCACTAACACTGGCGGGGGCGTTGTTTAAAAAAAAAAAAAAAAAAAAAAAAAAAAAAAAAAAGGCCGCACTGTAAATCAGGACTCTCCTCTGCCATGCTGGCAAGTTGCCC